TCACATGTTTTGTTCGTCATGATAATCTTTTATCACACATATAAAACTTTTGAAGCCTAAATACAATCGCAAAAAGCCAGTTGGCTATAAACAAACTACACCTTGGTTGCATGACTCTTTCAGTCTTTATTTAAAAAAAACATATTCTCAGAAGAGTGTGATTATAAACCAAATAAGACTGTAAAAGTGGACTAGTAGTGAGTAGATGAGTTTTCCTGTTTCCTGTTCCCATTTAGCCACTTGTCAGCAATTGCCTTTTTCAGGACAAATTAAAGCTTTAAAAAAAATCACAAAGGGGTATTACTTAAGTATTTTATGTCATAGAATAAAAACATGAAAATATCTTGAGCTTGTGTTAACCACAGACCTTATTTTAGGCATTTAGCCAAAAACCCGCTAAAATGCTAACTTTAAGTTTTGGCCTACAAAAATATGCCATCCCTGCAGCAATCTATAGACCTGTTGTCATTTAGACCCCAAATGTACAACATATAAACTAATCATATGCTCATCAAGTTTTATTAGGCCATTTGGAGGGTGATCATCACCGTGATCATGTGCATCTCAGAGTCTGTTGTTGAAAATGTTGCCATTGTTGTCATGAACACATGCTCTAATCTTATTTGCAGTGCAGCAGACCTCCTAAATTCTCTATGTCTGCCAAACTTGTTATGAGCCAACCATAACCCTTATTGTAATCAGCATTGTGCAACTCTGCATTGAGTTGTCATCTGATAATATATTGACTGCCGTTGCCAATTGAATAGCTTGACCCCCCCACCCTCCGAGATATCTTTATCTCTCACGCTTTTTATCTCACTCTTTTCTTCTCTCTCTCTCTCTCTCTCTCTCCATTTTCCCCGCTCTCTTTCTCAGCATGATTGGAGTCTTGTGACTAGCGTGTGGTATCTAATTTGATTGTTTTTCCCAGGTTCTGAGGCAGAGAAGTCTTGGTGACCTCAGTGTTTTTCTCTAGGAACAGCAGCACTGGTCTCGTGAGGCCTGAACTTGAGATGCTCTCTGATCTGCCTTATCACTCCAGTATGTGCGTCCATGAATTTGAATGAGTGTCTCCAACACAGCAATCTCATAAAGACATTACTTTATATTTTATTGCCACAATAGCTAATGTTTTACACAATGAAACAGTTATATATTGGCTTTTGTGTGGCATTCAGAATTAAACAAAAAATTAATTACAAATGTAAAGAAATTCAAATGTAATTTTTAAAAAGAAAGCCAATTTTGTAACATTTTAAAATAAGGTTATATTGTTAACATTATTTAACTACTTTAGTTGCCATGAACTAACAATTACAAATATTTATTTTCAACATTTACTTATGTTAATATTTTTAACAATTATATTCTGCCAATTATATTCTGTTAATATGGACCTGAGCTAATATGAAGTAACAAAGAACAGGTGTATTTTTTATTGACTAACATTAGCAAAGAATATTAAATACTGTAACAAATGCATTGCTCATCACTCAATATTAATTAATGCATTAACTAACGTTAAAAAATGGGACCTAATTGTAAAGTGTTTCTGCAAAGGTTTGTCAAGACAAACTAAATCTTCGCTTGACACAGTCTTGTTCAAAAGTTTTGAAAAAGTTACATAGATAAAATACTGTATTATCGAGATCAGACAAGATTGTTGAGCAATATTATATACAAAATATTTTTTCTCTTTTTTTATCAACTTGTGTTCTTTTAATTATCACAAGTATTTGTATTTCTTTTTCTAAGTGATTGACCATAGGCCTCATTGATTTGAGCTTATGCATGATGTTATGTTTTTAAACAATAAATAAATACAAATTAAAAATTATTTGTGGATAATTTGTGGAATGTTCACTCAAAAACTGAGGTGCATAAGCTCAGATCAATGAGGCCTACTACCAATCTGTTCCAAAAAAGAAATACAAAATCTGTGCAAATTGAGAAAAGAAAAGAAAAGATTGAATCCAAGATTTGGAGATTTACAAGAAATTTTTAAAAGACCAGTTTTGGCTGGCAACACCAAATTAGGATTTAAAAGGGTTAAATCTGCAGCCCGTAACTTTTTTTGCATTCAAAATTTATATAATAAGCCATGAATCAATTTTCCAAACCGTGTTTTTGGCCTGTCCTCCTGAATCACTACAGTACACCTATAATAAGTGTTTATATTCAGACTATTTTAGCCTGGTTCGGGTAGGTACCGCTGCAGAGTAGCCCAGTACCTGCGTGATTCGTCATAGACATAAACAGAGAGAAGTAGCTCTGGCTACAATGTTCTTCCACAAGACGCACGCAGTTCTGTTTATTAACCTCTAGAGCGCCAAAAGTTACTGCAGCTTTAAGTAATGTACTTTCTATAAGTACATAGAAAAAAAAACAGAATGCAATTGCAATGTTATCTCCCTGTATGATTCAGTCCTGTTATATTGTCATATGGCCTACGTGACTGGACATGCATGTCTGCACAGAGGGATTGCGTTGAATCTTTTGAAGATTTGTTTTCTATTTATAAAGTTACAGTTTGATCTAACTCTCCTGTGATTCTCAAACAGACATACAGCTGTAGCATTTTTAGTATCATTTTTATCTAAGTAACATGGGTTGTTTTAAAACTTTACATCGATTTTTTTGCTATAGGCTTCTGTGAATAGATACTTCTCTGAGCAAAGGCAAGAAGCACGGATACTCTGTAAATCACTGCTGAACAAGCAAAATCCACTGATAAGCATATAAGCTTGTACTCTTTTCCCGATTTCTTGCAACATGACACTCTCAGTGGTCAATCTTATATCAGCTTTAAAACTCGTGATTCTGTTTATGAATGTATTCATTGTTCTCATGTTATTTTGGACATGCATGCATGCTCTCTGTAACATTGTTTATGTATGCTTCTGTACAGAATGGCAGTGTGGCCAATGGATCTGATATGAGACGGCCTCATGCATGGCCCCGAAAGAGTAAACAAGGCATGCTGGGAGTTGAGGGAGAGGTTGATGAAGAGCAAAAGGAAGCTTACAATGATGCCGGCCCAATGGGGCGTCTCCCTGGCCAGCAGAGAGGAGCTAATGGCAACCATTAGGAAGGCCACAGCAGCTACTGCGATGCCCAGCAGAAGCTGTAACAGAGCGACCAGCAAAGGAAAGCGGCAGCCACAACATTTTTGGGCTTCCTCCAGCACTGGGCCTCCAGTTTCTGCTTGTCCCTTCTTCTCCTTGCCAGCGGTTGCGTTGCCTCCTCCAGCCGACCCCATCGGACTCGTCCCCGACCCCATAATTCCTCCTGTCTCGTGCGGAGGTTCTTAATCTTCCTTTGAGGCCGACTGGACGTTCTTGTACTCGCCCTCTATCTGTTTGTCCTTCCTTTTCTTTCTCGTCTGGCGTTTCTTTTGCTCTCTATAGCTGGACTGCTCCCTTGCCCTCCCTCCTCACTGGAGGCTTCTCTACCTATGCGATCCCTGCTATTCAGAATCAGAAAGGACTCTGAACTAATATGGAAAACATTTGGAGCACATTCCACAAGAGCCACATATAGAGCACAGAAGAGGAGACGGAAAGGAGGGAGGGTTGAAAAGGGGAGGGAAGACATAAAGGGGGACTCCAACACACGACAGCTTCTAGTCTCCCTGAAACTAAACAGGAAACAGGGATCTTATGGAGCAGAAACAATTCTTGTCTCTGGCAAACATGTGGGAGAGTGCTTGAGTCCTGCACCTCCTGCAACACACTGTGCAATCTATTCATAACAGCCTGGAGTCAGTCACGTGATTTCGATGAAGTTACGTGACCCGCGGGCATGTGAGCGGGTTACAGTTAATCTCTTATGAATATTATGAGAGAGTGCAGATATGCTACGTGTTCATTTTACTTTGTGTTAATTATGGAGAATCTCTAACTATATGCAGGCCTTGTTTCTTATAATGAATATGTCTGTATTCACCCAGACCTTTTGTAAAACTCTATTCATTTTTATATTTCTTTATATACTGGAAAAAATATGATTTCTAATCTTATAATGTTTCATCTGCTAAAGTCTTCTGAAGGCTGGATATTGTCAGACTGTGGTCTATTTTCAGCCAGACTATATTGAGAGCTTATTCTATGTGCTGTTGTGTTATGTCACACATCATTTCAGATGGCACATATAGGCAAAGCAATCTCAGTACATCTAGATGTTAGTTCAAGCTAAACATGCCGCACAGAACTTCAGAAAAGTTCACATTATAAAGCTGCAAATAAATGATTTGTCATAAAATATTGATCACAAATGTTTTCTTAGCAGTTTGTTGATATATATACAAAACTGATACAGTTCATTTCAGTTCAAATATAGCAGGTAATCGCAAATCTTTAAAAATATGTATTTCAAAATATATTGAGGAAATGTGAACACTGCAGGTACAATCAAATATTTAGAGATGACTAAAATATGATTGCAACTAATAATAAAACAATGTATAATATTAATAATAATATTTTTGACATAAAGCATAATTATGTTTATCCCCAAAGATATGAATTATCAGCCTAGACAAATAGTGATAGTTATATTTGGTAAACATGATAAATATAGCCTATAAAAGCATGATTTTGAAAATGCATTTAGCCAAGTTAATACATGTGTCTTTAAATCTTTGGTTACTTAGTATGCAGACCTTTAGGGAAGTCCCAAATTGGAAAGAAAATAAAACATAAAGTAGGCTAATGTGTTTTAATGCCAAAAAGTTTTCATTTTACGTACGTTTAGACTATAATAATTCTAACGGGCTTTATATAAAATAATTGCATGCCTAAGATATATCTTCTTTTATAATAAATGTTGTAAATAATATAATAAGTATCTTGGCATTTTAAATTTAGATGTGTAGATGTTATGCTTGAGACTTCAGATGCAAATATTAGAACGCGTCTCTTCAGCAATAAACGGTCAACTTTCAAGCCCATTTAATACCCGGATTCTAGAGCTGGTGCAGTTTACACGTGAGTCAGCGCGCGGTTCCTGTGAAGGCGCGCGTGCGCGGTTGTCTGGGCAAAGTGGCAGCTCAGACACACATCGTCATTCAGAGGTGCAGCGCGAGAGACCGGACACAACGCACCGCCGCTCCGCTGGTAGCCGACTGGATTAACGAAACCTGATTTTAAAAGAAGTGCACAAGAAAGTGGGACAAAGTTATGGATGAAAGAATACCGAGAATGCAAGGCAGACAGTTCCTGGATCACGCGGATTTCTTGGGGTAATTTTTAATGTTCGGTTGGTTTGGTTTTTAATGAACGCAACAAATGTTACGTTTTTTTTTTTAATGTGTGAGAATTCATAGATTTGCCTCTTAAAAAGTTTTTTTTATTTATTATTTTCCTGGATCACGCGGATTTCTTGGGGTAATTTTTAATGTTCGGTTTGTTTGGTTTTTAATGAACGCAACAAATGTTACGTTTTTTTTTTTAATGTGTGAGAATTCATAGATTTGCCTCTTAAAAAGTTTTTTTTATTTATTATTATTTTTTTTTTAGGGTTGAATATTCGTCTCTCTACATGTGCAAATCCAAAAGAGGTGTGAAGAGAGAGGAAGGAAAGGTAAGCAAACTGTGGACCCGTGATGTCCGTCGAGTTCACGCAACACTTTGTGTCGCTCGTTTTTAATAATCCGAGTGATAATTATTACTTTAAGAACTTTTTGCAATGGCTAATGCTTCTTATTCGCAGGACGCGTATAAGTTACCACACAGACTGATCGAGAAAAAGAGGAGGGACCGAATAAATGAATGTATTGGGCAGCTGAAAGATTTATTACCTGAACATCTGAAACTTACGGTAACTTAAGTTTGAATTTGAATTTGTTCAAATGTGTTTTGTAATTTTAGCTCACCCGCACGAGGAAAGCAAGAAAGTAGGGAAATCCGATAAATGTTCGTATTGTCTTACAGACTCTTGGTCACTTGGAAAAAGCGGTAGTTCTTGAGTTGACGCTGAAGCATCTGAACGCGTTGACAGCTGTCACAGAGCAACAGCACCAGAAGATCATCGCTTTGCAGAACGGTAAATTACATCATGTGCAACCCACACAATGCAATCAGAGAAACAGCAATACCACATCAAGTAAAACAGTAAATGGAGATCAAAGTACAGTACTTTAACAAAAATAGATGCACATATAGTTGCAATTATGCATATACTTTTTATATCAGTTATGCTTATTGCTTATATATGTTAAGTGTTTTTATAGATCACTTTTTTGTTGCATGTATTTATATATTTATATCTGTCTAGATTTATTATTAATACTTATCTATCATCTGTCATCTATCTATCTAGCGTCTGTCTGTCTGTCTGTTTATTTGTCTGTTTTTTATGAGCGGACTTTTTGCCTCTATTTTATGACAGGTGAGCGATCGTTGAAGTCCTCCCTCCAGGCTGACTTAGACACGTTTCACTCAGGCTTTGAAGCATGTGCCAAAGAAGTCCTGCAGTATCTGAACAAGGTCGAGAACTGGACGGCGCGTGAGCAGATGTGCACGCGACTCATTAACCACTTACACAAAGTTTCCGTGCCGTTTCAGCCGGGCGCAGGGTTCCTGCAGCAGCCATTGCCAGGCGACGACGCTCCAGAGCGGGACGTGCAGACAGATACTCAAGCCAACTGTGTACCTGTCATCCAGAGGACTCAGAACCTCGAGCTTAACGAGAACGACACGGACACCGACAGCGGATACGGAGGAGAGGCAGAGAAAGGCGATGGCAAATGCGAGAAAGGATGTGACACGGCCAAAGGAGTAAAGATCAAGCAGGAGTTCGGAGATGAACGTGTCACTAAAAAAGCCAAAATGAACTGGTCTGCGAACGGTGGGTCAGATTCCACCAATACCCGGCCGGACATGGCGTTAATGAACTCTTTAATTGGAATGACGGGTGTTGGTGGACAACAAACTCCTTTTTGCATGCCGTTTTACTTTATAAACCCGTCTGCAGCATCGTACATGCCTTTGTTTGATAAGAGTCACTTGGAGAAGTTGGTGTATCCAGCAGCGGCGCTGACCACCCCGTTCCCGTGGCTTTACCCCGGGATTCCCACACACACCTCCGCTGCAGCCGCAGCCGCAGCCGCTGCTGCCATCGCTTTCCCTAGTGCACCCGCCGATAAAACCTCTGGATTTAATGCAGCATCCTTAAAAGATGACGAGCCGCCATCTCCCGATGGTGACCTGTCCAACGAGGCCGACCTGGCCTCTCCTGTGTCTGGGGATCATCATGGCTCAAAGAGTGTTGCCATTCATCAGCCCCAAAGAAATGAAAATGATGGTACATAAAGCTGATCTTTTGACCTTTGTGTGCACACTAGTTTGCTTGTAAAATGGCTATTTATCTGTTTATCTTAATTACAAGGCAGATGTTGGAATACATGTATCTATAAATGTATGGCATCATAATATTCTTGAGCTGGCATATTCAAACATGTGAGCTGGCTCATTTTAGTCTGAGACAGCTGTTGAAAATTATGTAAGGTAAAACCTTTAAAGAGATGTGATTATATCAAATGTGTTTTGCCTTTTCTGAAACTTTGTCACTATTCATGACCTCGAAAAACTGTATGGGGGTCATGCTGTGTATTGTACAAATGTTGTGGAGCACTGTAAAACAGGACATGAATAAACATAAACGGACCTTTTAGATTGGATGGATCTTAACAATAAGGAAATCATGGAATTTAATTGAATGTGTTTATTTTTTAGACCTGGGTTTATGAATGCATAGGAACAGTGGTGTACCAGCTGCCATTTATTTCTGCGTTGTAACACATTTCATAGGCCCTATAGTGTCTTTGCCTCAACTGTCATTTGCCTAAACAGTGGCATGTGGATGTATATAGTTTGTGAATATGCTGTATGTTTATTGTTCATGTTGTAGAAGAAATCTATGGATTTTTTAAAGGATAAACTGAACGACTGCTGCACATTTCCTTAATGCTTTACACATTTGCTGTTTGAAATTATGCAGCTCAGTTGTCAAATAAACATAAGCTCATGTGAACAAAATGTTATCACCCCCATCATTCATTTCAGCACTGAAATGCACATGATAGTTACACAGTACATAGTAAAACACTTACTGACAGAATCATTCAGACTTCATTACAGGTCAAAGTGTGCATGTGACACTCAGTCCATTAGAGTTATTTTCAACATGAACCGCCCAGAAACACCCAGTTAGCTACAGCTGACATCAAGAGATCTGCTAGCTACACGTAAACAGATTTCATGCATAATTAACATTAACAAAGGCAACTAGGAAAAATTTAAATCAGTTACTCGGAAACTCTATGAATGCTTTTAAGGAGTCACCCATTATTTGGATCAATAAATGTTTACAAAAAGTATCCTGTGACGAACTAAACTGTGGCCATTTATACGGTCATTAATCAACATGCCAATAAAAATAAAGAAATAAATACCCTCCAACAAAATGACCTTTTATACATTTAATTAGTTTTATGTTGTTTACGTTTTGATGTTGGTGTTTTTACTCAAGGTCAGTTTGAAAATCAGCTGACATGAGACTCATAATGTTGGAAGGCAAAAACAACCAAAGTTAACACGATTCACATGATATGAATCCCTCCCAAGTTATTCTGAATGCTTATCTGTAAAAGGTAGCATTATTGCTCATAAAGTAGGTGTCTGTTAATCATAGCTTGTGGGAAATAAAAAATGTAACCCAAGAACCCAGCTACTAAACATTTAGTAATAGATTTAACAATATTGTGTCTGGAAAGCTTATGTAATAGACTGAGTTGTGATAAATAGTGTTATTCCAGTGGTTGCAATTAACTGGGAAGAGTGCTACATTGTTACTTCAGGATACTCATGTTGGGGACGTGAAAAGTGATAAGGGCATTTGGTTTTATATTTCAGCATTCAGTTATGCTGAGCAAGATAAGAACACAAACTTGTGGAAATGTGTGTATTCTGCTGTGCTGACAGTCCCTCATCACATTCTCAGACTGCAGTGAGAACATTATCGAGATCACACTGACATCCAGCGGTAAAGTGGCGAAGTCGCATGTCATTTATAGCTTATAGTTGAATTATTTACATGTTTAAATAAATAAATAAGATGTAGGAAATTATCCGTACTTAGTAGGTTATTATAAGGGAAACAGTGATAAATCATGCACCTATTTCTCTGTTTAGCGTTTTAGTGAACTGCGTAAAAGTAGACCACGAGGACACGACAGCAGCCTATTATTCTCCTATACACTTATTATTCAGAAATACATTTTCAATAGATTTTTCAACTGTATAAGTATATAAAAGATCTAAGTTAATATCTGTGTGGATTTCATTTCAATATTTATTGTTATTTATCAATTTAATAATTCAAACATAAAATGGAAATAAATAAATCACGTGTAAATGGACAAATTAATAGACATTACACATTACTTTTTATTTAATTAATGTTATAATATGTAGTTAAATTAAAAAATTAACACATTTTAAATCGGAAAAATAAACTGACATTCAAAATTGGCTGTTTATTTAATAATGTTTTAAAATGTAGTTAAATCAAAACATGTTTAAAACAATATATTACATAATATGTAATATTATATAATAAATATTAAAATACACTAATTAAACTGTTCTATTAATTAGCCCATCTAAAAGTGATTTTTATGTTTGAATTACTAATTACTGATAACTTACTCCTTTATTTTTTATTTTAAGTGTCTCTCCTAGTCCTCCGTAGTTTTAGCCTATGCAAATATGTATGCAAATTGTATGACTAAATTTACAGGGGAAATCCGAATTAAAATGATCAGGACCCGTGTCAACCAAGTCAGCACCATTTCATTCCAGCTGGCTCTTTAACAGATATATGCATATTTTAGATGTATTTATCACTGTGTATTAATATAACCTACACATATTTAGATATTTAGTTGGTTCGTATATTTATTTATGCGACATATATTTAACATTTCGATTAAATTCAAATGTAATTTTATTTAATTACATTTAATACATACACAAAGTGATGAGATTAATCACCTTTTGAGGCCCTTAATCTATTAAGCATTTCTTCAGAACCTTTATTCAACGTCTGCGCAGCAACCAGCGCAGCCGTGACGCTCTCCAGAGCACCCGCACATGACTGTGAGCAGTTGCTCGGCAGCACTATCTCGTCAGCTGACTGCTATCGCAAGCCGTTTGTCCTACATAATAGATTTACATTTAATACATACACAAAGTGATGAGATTAATCACCTTTTGAGGCCCTTAATCTATTAAGCATTTCTTCAGAACCTTTATTCAACGTCTGCGCAGCAACCAGCGCAGCCGTGACGCTCTCCAGAGCACCCTCACATGACTGTGAGCAGTTGCTCGGCAGCACTATCTCGTCAGCTGACTGCTATCGCAAGCCGTTTGTCCTACATAATAGATCACACACACACACACACACACACAACACATCGATACTACTCCTCCTCAGATGCTTTAACAGGTCCTGACGGCTCGCCAACATGAGAATCGCCTGTCTGCTGCTAGCCGCTGCCTTTTTGTGGACGGCCGACGCGGTTGTTCGGTAAGGTCGAACAAACAAACTTAACAATAACAACAACGGCGACGCAATCCGATCATTGTAGCTAAACCACGCTGTGTGATCTTTGTTGTTCTTTCACTGGGCCTAGTCTGTTTTTATATTGTTTTATCCTGTAATTTAGCAAACAATAGTTGTCTCAAAAAACTTTTCTACCATTATACTATTGTAAATGTTTAAAAACGCTCCCTAGGTAGGAAGCTCAGCAGGTTTTGAGACACAGCCCTTGTGTGAACGATTGTAAAGCACCCAGGGGTTGTTGTAGGTCTCCCACTAGACCAGGGGTAGGCAAGGAGAGAGCCGCAGTCCTGCAGAGTTCAGCTCCAACCCTGAAAAAAAAAAAAAAACACTCACCTGCCTATATCCTTAGTAATCCTGAAGACATTGATTAGCTTGTTCAGGTGTGTCTGATTAGGGTTGGAGCTGAACTCTGCAGGACTGCGGCTTTCTAGGACCGAACTTGCCTACCCCTGCACTAGACAAAGAGACTGATCGTTTGTGAATCTAGAAACTAAGATCTGTTTATAGATCAGTATGAAGTGCCCTTTAAAATTCAGCCTTTAGAAATCCAATTTAGTGCACTTAAGCTGATAGATCTCACCCCAGCTGGCTCAAAAACACGTGGATAATGTGTATATATCAGTTACACACAGAGGCTGACAGTAACTAAGTACATTTACTTGAGTATTGTACTCAAGTACACTTTTTGTTTATCTGTACTTTACTTGAGTATAATTTATTTCTGGGAACTTATGACTTTAACTTCACTACATTTGAAAGACAAATATTGTACTTTTCACTCCACTACATTTCTATCAAGGTCCTCGAAGTAGAAAGTCGTTACTATGTAGCAGCTCTGAAAGTCAGTGGGTGATTTCTTTCTTCTCTAAAACGTGACTTTCTTTTTTTTCTCAGACAGTTTATCAGTAATCACTCTTGGGGCTACATGAAGTGGTTTCTCAGCATTTTTTTAACACTGAGTTGCAAATGTGATATTTATTTACAACAATTCAATAAAAGGTAGTTAATATTGTGGTATATATTAGACACTATTGTCTGATTTTGAACTGTTGTGCATCTCCTAATAAAACACAAAAGGTGTTGGACTGAAGCAGCACTGCACAGACTGTTCTGTGTATGATATCAAAGTACTGCAAGAGCGATTAGACAGCATTTTTTAACATTTTTGTCTTATAAGTCTTGCTGTTTTGCGTTTTTGTTAAAGCAGTGTTGCTGTTGTAAAGTTGTACAGCTACAGTTGTGTTGCTGGGTTTTAAAGTAGATTTGATTTTGTTTCTTCCTTATCACTCTGTATTTACAGGATTTCACTGTCCACTCTGTTCAAATGTGATTGAATGGTTACACATAGATGTGTGCACTGTGCACACACTGTCAGAGCTGTGTGAGATCACTACCATCCTGCTTTTGTGAGGGTGGGTAGGGGTGTTAAATAATTGTTTTTGTTTAGTTTTTTTTCCCCATAGGTTTTTAACATTTTAAAAGCTCTTTATTCCAAATACACTACAAGCTAGTCAGTGTATTCAGCAGGTGTAATGTATTCTATGTTGCTTCA